ATTTAATTCAGCTGGCAAAATAAATTGTTAAAAAATGTATTATGTGCTTCTGTTTTTTAATTCAGGAGATTATAAAAAAATCCTTCAAGACCCTCTTGATTCAAGAGAAAACTGTTTTTTTTTAAATGGCTGCTTATTAATTAATTGTTAATCAATCTATAAGATAAATCAACTTCAGATTAATTCATTGTCAATAACTTGCATCCTTAAGGAGTTAACTTAATTTATGTCTACTCATGTTCATGTAATGAAGCATTTTAATGATTTGGCCGATTAATCGATTAATCGAAAAAATAATCAACAGATTAATCGATTATTAAAATAATCGGTAGTTGCAGCCCTAGTTAACTAATTGTCATCTGAGATGAAGCTCATCCCTTTTTTCTGCAGTTTTTCTCAAAAGTGCGAACAAATCTTTCATCAGACGGTTTGTGTGTGAACCTGTGCTAGAGTTTTCCAGATCGGGACCTTCTTCACTGCCCGTCAAACTCTATAGTGGAGGCTCACTTCATGTCCAGCATTAAGGAAGCCGACGCCCTAAAGCACAAGAGCCAAGTTGTCAACGACATGCAGAAGAAAGACCACAAACAGCTGTGGATGGGCTTGCAGAACGGTGAGATGCACATGGACAGATATGAACATTTTAATCAAAATAGACCACAGGCAGCTGTTCAGGAAGTGACATCTAATCCTGCTGTCATACATGAACTGATTAATGTAAAGATCCATATGTTTTAATCCTGCAACTCATCCACCTACACACATGATGAACAGATAGTGTTTGGACTGATCAGCTGGAACACGCACTGTTTTGTCGTCAGTTTTTAATGCGCTGTTGTCAACAAACAAATCCAAATTAAAAAATAAATCAAAAGAATACATTCAAGTACGTTCACTGTGATCTGATTGCAGTCCTCAAATCTCAGCACTGCTACAACTTTTGCCTGTGAAACGTCCACCAGTGCCCCTCTCCTCCACATTTCCACCACGTGTGCTGACAGGTTCATTTTCAGTAGGATGTTGTTGTGATTGTGGTGTTTGTGTGGGTGAAGCTGGGGTGATGCACTGAAAGCTTGTGTTGTGGGGAGATGCTGCAGGGATGGATGGGATGCTTTCCTGCGTTTGTGTTTACTTTAAAATGACCGATTGCATTTGAACAACAAAACCACAAAACTAGTCATGAGTTTCTTTTTTCCGGTCGTTTTGGTCCAACGAGGCAACTGTACATCTTTCATCCACTGGTGATGTGGCTGCCCTCTGTGCCAGTCAGTACCAGGCAGGGTTCGACAAGATTTTTTTTTTTACCTGCCTTACCCTAGAGTACTGGCCTTGGGAAGGCTGCTTATAAAAACAGAATGATCAACAGCAGCAGCTTTGTTTTAAATATAATTTACAGAACATGAAAAAGTCAGAAATTTGCATTAATTAAATCTTATATAGTGAATCTCATATCCAAAGATACATTTAAGATATCTTGAACTGGAGTCTCCATACAAC